TTGTTCACAGTGACCAGTCTTTTCACTGGTAGTTTGCTTTCTACTGTATTTTCAGGAAAGGGGAAAGGTCAGAAAATCCAGGGGGGTAGTTTAAGAAGGGACTGGGTTGTAACTTTGTAACCTCTACATAGACTCCTTCCTTTAGGCACCTAAAATAACTGTTGAAGGAGACCTCTAAATTACAGAGAGATGCTTCCTGCTGTAATATATGTGCCATGCCTTTTCTAGGATCATAAGGTCACTTTGTCTTGGAGACAAATCAACAAGCACTTGTTTCATCTAGTATAGAAGAAGAGTGACACAGGCTCATCAGTAATGGATGGAAGTTACTGGTACTGGAGAAATATTTTCTCTGGTTTTAGAAGGTTAGCATTGACATAAGTCAAGAGTCAAGTAATTATAGTGAAAACACTTAACTGATAAAACCCACCCTAGGAAACTTCTTCACCCACCCTTGTAGACACTTGCGCCCCAAAACATGTGAGAAAGTTGCAGACACAAATTTATGATTTTTTTTTTTAATTAAAAAAAATGTAGCTTTTTTTAGTTCCGGTCTTTTACTCCCAGATAGATCACCTAATCTGTGTGTCTCAGCACTGTAGGAAACCCTTCAGCAAAAGATCCCATTCAGACCTCCATATATGAACTCACTGGAGTAGAATTATCCACTTCTGCTTTAGTTGCATCAAAGCAGATATTAGCATCTTTTCTTCAAGATTGTAGGAAAAAATGAGATGCATCATGAAGGATGCAGATACCTGAAGCATTTCTTAAGAGACCATTTTTATATCCATAACATATTTAGAGGGTGTTGGTCATCTCCGTATTGGTCTAGGGCAGGGATTTTCAAACTTTTTTGGTTGGGGTAACCCCCAGTGGCCAGTTGACACAAGTGGGAGGGAGGAGGTTCCCTGCATGTACCCTTGATTGAAAACCCCTAGTCCAGGGACATAGGCAGACCAGACTTAAGCTTCAGTTCCACCCAAGAGAGTATGCAGACACCGGCAGACTCTCCCTGTACCTGAAGAAGGGTGTTTGTGTCTGAAAGCTTGTAAAGAACAATTTTTCCAACTATTTTGTTTGTGTAGTAGAAGATAATGCATTTATGCAAAGAACTTTTTCTGCATGACGTCTTTATTCTTTTCACCTTTTTTTGCTTCTACTTCTTGTTTGTTTCGCATGCTCTTACTTCAGAGTAGTGTCAAAAAACTCTAGTTTGTGAAGGCTCACACTGAAGAAAAAAACCTGTTTTACCACAGAGAGGCAAGGTATGGAGAATGCCATGTTGCTCAGCTGTATCTGTTGCCTCAATTGAGTACTTACACTACTGGAAATACTTAGATAGGATTTTTTTTATAGTATCAGCAGTTTATCTGCCCCCCACGCCTTCAAGAGTAGTCTAAAATTGTAACTTCCCCCATGAATATTGGGTCAGAAATAATTAAGTAGACATGCATGCTGTGGTATATTCTGCACCTGTTGTTTTGGACACAAGGTAGTCTCTTACCCATATATGTTAGGCAGCATCTGTGACTTGAATGATTCATTGTACAGAGTGCATCCCACCATGCTTGAAGTGGGGGTCCTGAATGTTGCTTATAAACAGACAGACAGGGTTCTTTGGGTAAATCTGATATCTCTTATTAAACCAACTCCAGATGGCTACAACCTACACCCCTGCTTATAACAGAGACATTTGAGTGCTTGCTATTTCTTCCAGCTGCTCAACTCAAATATGTTGATCTTTAAATGCTGTAGCAAGAGTGGCAACCTGCAGCATGAGTGCCATAAGTGATACGGGCAGCTTTGGTGTGTGCCATGTGACAGATCAAGTTGGGAACAGGCAGCACAGCAGCAGATAGTGCAGGAAGAAGGGCAAAGCAGCAGCTCAGCTAGAAGAATGAGATTGGCTTGGGACTTGGGGATAGCACAGGGCTGATTTGTTGCATGCCTGCCAAAAATGTTGGCCCCCACTGCTGTAGTTTCAGCCAGCAGAGTGTTAAGTCTTCTTTAAATATTCTGGAGGAAGGGACCTGCTGAAGTATGAAGACTGTAAAGGGTTTTTGGTTGTAGCCACATTGGTCTAAGGACATATATAGGCAAGGTTCACATCTACCCAAAGAACCTTGCCAAGACCATGTGAAGGCAGACAAGGTTCTTTGGGTAAACGGAATATTTTTATTAGACCAACTAAGTTGGAAAAAATATTCTTTGTTAAGTTTAGCAAAGTATAATTTTTTCCAACTATTTAGTTGGTGTAATAAAAGATATCGTGTTTACCCGAAGAACCTTATCTGCCTGTCTTTTTAGACCAACATGGCTACAACCAGCACGCTCAAAGACAATGTAAAAGCTTTTGAGAAGGTGCTGGAGTTGCAGCTTGCTGAATTGTTTTAAACAATTATCCTTAGTTATCTGGAATATGTTTGTAATCTCTTGGAGCAAGAGGATTGTGTTTGGTGTTCATTGGGGATGTACCTATAGCTGCATCTGGGTAGCTAGGCTAGTATAGCCTTAAAGTAGTTTTTCACACTATGTTTTGATTAACTGGGAGCTAGGCAGAACCAGTGTCAAAGTTAATGTACGAGACATGTAAACAAATATTACCCAATTTCATAAAAGGTGAACTAGTATGTCTGAGGCACAGTAAAGCATATTTTGTATAGGCAACATTTACATAAGTATCCAGGTGAGATGAGATGAAACATGCTTCACCCTTCTACCAAAATGACAGTTCGCAAAACCAAAATGAAATAAACATAATCTATTCTTAGGTCCGGGAAGAATAACTTGCTGTACCTATATCAGTCAGCAGATTTCTCAGGCCCTGATATTGGATATAGCCAATGGCAAGGGTTTGTATTTTAGTTGCACATAACTGAAAGATACTGGGATAATGCTTAATGCTCCCAGAGTTGTAACCTCTGAATCATGTGCTGCTGATATGAAGTGAGTGGTTGGTGATCTTTCTGGGAGGATGCCGCCTGACTTCTTACTGACTTTATGCTGGTCACAGTTTTGTTAACAACAGTGCCATGGCAGTTTTCCAGAGGATCACATTATGACTTTTCCCACCTTCCACTGTTGTAAGGAACGGGAACTTTTAAGTCTAAACTAGAAAAATGGTTAAAGTTCCTGAGAGCTTCCTACTTCAGAAGGCAGGTTTCAAACTAAGTATTCATGTCAGTTGTCCTCGACTTCTTTACTATCATTGGTCCAGTGGCCTCAAAATACTGCCAACATGAATCATTCTCAAATCATTTAGGCCTCATCACCCCTGTTTTATGAATGCAGTAACTTAAAGATGATGACAGGAGACATTCATGCCACATAGTAAACCTGAGAGCGCTTGGAATTATACATAAGCCATTAAGCATCCTATGTGCGAATGGCATCTTATAAATAAATGTATTTTGATTTCCAAGTGCAAATTAAACAATACAGTGTCCCAGGGAAGAGGGGGAGGGAATCAATATGATTCAGCAGGAGGTAGTCTATCTGCTAAACTGCTAGCATGGAGCTTCATTCCAGTGTTTTCTATATTAGTTCCTGAAGAAGGGGAAAACTAGTCCTCCTATACATCAAAATACTTGTAGGTAAGGGGAAAAAGAATTCTGCTGTAGTTACTCAGAGTTGGTAGTCAGAATTGCTGTTAAATGCCTTTAATTCTTTGGAAGAAAAATCTAGAAGGGGTTTGAAGTAACCTCTATTTTGACAAGCCTAAATTTAAAAAGTAAACAAACTGTATAGTTCTCACCATTTGCTACTGGAGGTAGATACTACAATACCAAGGGCACCTCCATACCATCAGGGTTGAAGATTATCCATTTCATGCACCAAGTATCATCTTTGGACTAGCATGCTCAGGTGCAAGAAACTAGTTAGATGTAGAGAAAACATTAAACTAATGCAGTCAATCGAAATAATGAACAGTTAAGCAGCAGGAATTTGTCACGTGGTTGCATTACACTTTGTAAGTTAAGGCCTTGTTCATTTCTCCAAACAAAGACTGAAAACTGAGAACCAAGATTTCCTCTGTGGCTCAGGCCAGAAATGCACATAGGCTGAAAGGTTACTTTTGGTAAAAATATGCACGCATGTTAAATTACCAATTCTCATTTCTAGTACAAGTTTGTTGCCTGCATACTTCATGCCATTTTACTGCTTCACACAGTGGGAATCCCGTTTTTTTTAAGGTGGTTCCACAGTCACGGACCAAGATAGAACTTCTACAAGGGCATCTATATTTATCTTGGATAGGTAATATTAATAAAATGTAAGATTTAGCCAAAAGTCTCACAAGTTCTCTGGGATCAAAGAAACTGATGAGAAACATTTTAGGGCTTATTTTTTTCACTTTCATTGTAAAAGAAAAAGAATTTTCATGATTACTGTTACGATTTTTTCACAACTTTGCTTATGTCCATTACAAATTATTGATGTATTAATTAATTTTGATTTGGAAATATCAAAACCAAGTACTTGGTTTACAGTGCTTTATAAAAATCTAAGCCAAATAATGTTATAGTAGATGTGAATGGAGGGTGAGTTTTGAATGGGAATCATACTAAGATTGTAGCAGAGCCCAAAGTCAAACCCACATCTTAACCAGACCACCCTCCTTTTCTTCCACCTCTAAAGCAAAGTTTAATAGGAAGACAAGCTTTTATTAGGATTGTCCTTTACTGATAGTTGGAATTTAGTTGTTTTTTTTAGTCTCTTCAGCTCTTATTTTTGTATGTTTATTCATATGCAAGACTCCAAGTAGGTTTCAGTAGAAAAGGAACTAAAAAAGTCAAGATCATGAAGGTGGCAGGTACTTTAAAATTCTTGATCTGTCCAAAAGTATATGATGGCATTTTAAGCAACCAGGGTGCTTCTCTTCCTGATTCAAGCATCTTTTGTCCATTGCCTTAATCAAAATGAGATTGACCTTCAGGCACAGAGCAAGTATTGTATTTACTTAACTCACTGAGGACAGTGATGATATTTTCAGGGGACTTAATTTGCAGTGACTTTTGGCAGCATTCTTGTAGGTTTTAAGCTGAGCAAACTATCCTTAAGTAGCTATTTTTCTGCATTTTCATTGAACTAAGGTGTCCGACTAACCTGGTGAAGCTTGTTGGTAATTAAGTCAATCAGTAGCAACTCAAAATGACAATCAGTTCCCCAAAGGGGTTGCTTTGATTTTAATTGTTCCTAATCTAGCTGTGATGAATCATCCAGATGATGTAATCTTGTTCAAATACGATACCTCAAATATGTCATTAAATATCATTAGAAAAAAAAAAGTCATTCTTGAAACCTCCCTGTCCTAGCTAGACAAAAGCTGCAGTACCCTACCTGCCACATAGCGTTTATGACATGGCTGTTCACACCTCTGAAGGAAGCAGTACACAGCCTGGATCCCAGCTTAATTTGACACTCGGCAAATCCTACAAAATTTGTAAGAGAGAGAAGCAGGGCTTCCACAGTAATAAATAGACACACACACACCTGCAAGAATGTTTAATAGTTGCAGGACAGGAAGCAGCTGATAACTAGGCTTAAAATTAAACACAACAACAAGTGTCAGTGCTGAATTCAGTCTTCTATAATAAACTAAGGTTGAAGTCCTAAAGATTAATGTGGGCATCCTAATGTACTCTTCCTTCCTTGCCTCAGTAAGGAAAGTCTCTATTAATTTGTTGACCTGACAGGATCACATTCTGCCATCAGCTATTGCTTTTACAGCAGCAAAATACCTAGAATACTATTGTTAAGTTTCTCAGAGCATGAGCCCAGCATATAGCTCTGGTTATTAATTTACTATAAGATTAACTTGAAATTTGATGGATGATTATTTTGCAAGGTTAGTCTGGAGTGTTGCTGGAAGATATGCAAACAATAGAGGCTCTAAATGACAGCTTTAGTGCTAAATATTAGGCTAAAGGAGTGTTCAGGTGCTTTATGTAATGTTTTTAAATGGCTTTACTTTTTTTTTTTTTAATCCTGCTTCATAGGCAAGCACTGGAGCTATTTTAAGGACTAAACATAAATTCAGCTTAAAATCATTCATGTGTCAAGGAAGTTTCCTATTCAGATGGATTAAATGTCAGCTAGGATATACTGTTGTCACATTCAGCATGGGATTTACAGCAGATTCCAGCTGGGGCTTTTGTAGGCAGGGAGAATATTGTGTTTCAGGGAAACCATTTTAAACTTATTCTGTTTATATGACAGAAGATTAGCAGCTGTCAGGGCATTTTGTTAGTGTCAGGGTTGAAGTGAGGTACTTGTTTTATTTTGACCCAAACACTTCTAGGATGCTGCGAAAGGAGGGAGGGAGGGGTATATGCATGTGCACACTAGTTTTTGTAATCTTGAGTATTTCATAGACTAGAAAAAGAGTCAGATTGATAGAAAAACCATTCTTTGCTCTCTAGCAAACTGTTCTTGGGCACTATCGATGTTCATGGCTTATTATACTGAATAAAGCAATTGAGACTGCAGAAGTTGAGCTAGTTATGCATTATGTAAAATATTTGGTCTAAGAACTTTATTTAACAATGTACCTGCCCATGGGCTGTGCCAAATATTTCAAATGCTGGCTTGAATTTTTGGCAGTGCTAGAAAGACATCCAGCATCAAGTTGGTGCAGAATGACCTCCAAGTTGCAAACTATTCCCTCCAGTGGAGAGCTCAGAGTAAGAGCCATTGTTGGGATATGGCCTGTAGCCTAGTCAGGAATCAAGTTGACTCAGAAGGGAATTAGATGCTTTTATCAAGCTCTGAGAAGTACTTCTGTTTGTTCAAGACTTAGCTGTTTGGTTCTGTCACTTCTACATATGCATTTGCAGTCCTGTAATGTAAGCAGTCTTGTACTTCTGCAGTATTTTCACCCACCCTGCAGTGAAAGGTGGATTTGCCATATTGGGTATAAAGGAAGGGCAGGTACCGTTCAACATTTCACATACTTCATAAAAGGCAGTTCTGGTAGATGGGTATGAGTAATGTAGTTCTCCTTTAGGTTAAAGATGAGAGTGCATAACACCTGCAATAGCAAGTATTTAGAGTTTAACATCCTGCTTAATATCGGTCAAGTAACTGTTTAATGCATCTAGCAAGGCCTGGCTTATGCTTAGCATTTGGCACCGTAACTGTTTTGGTCAGGGCACACTGCTTCAGCTTCCCTAACCAGCACAGCTATGAGGTAGTTGCAGCTATATCAGCAATGTTCCTTGCTTGATCAATTTTAAGCTATGTTGGCAAAGTAACTTTTGCTGCTGGGAGCTGACTCCACTAGGGAAGTTTGTATTTAAAAAAAGAACATCATGAAGAGTGTAGAATGCATTTGCCAATTTGGCCATCCTGGCCAGCAGACC